ATCCAAACCGATTACACGACATTTGAAAAATGGCAAAAGGAAGGAAAACTCATAAGGTGGGGTTGAGATGGGGAGTTGATGTCCGAGTGGATCGAGGTCACGATAGCTCAGGTGGTAGAGCAGCGGCGTATCTAGCCGAAGGTCGTGGGTTCGAATCCCTCTCGTGCTATTAAATTTTTTCATCTCAACTAAAAACCTTAATTAACTGTAATCTACTTGACAACAACATTTTAAAGTTACAGTTTAAAATTAAGATTTAAGAGAATTTATATTAAATTGCATGTGCTCAATGTAACTTTAAAAAAAACGCATTTTCAACCAGTCAATACGTTTTAGTAGTTGGTGGTTCGCAAGTTTTGCTCTGTCTGCTGATTATGCTGTAGTCAGTGTTCGAAAACCACCGGTAGTTCCCACAACTACTTTAAATAATTGGCAGCTTGCTATTACTATTTAACAATTACATTTGCTATAGATGGAAACCAAAAACTACTGGTTGTTACAACAAATTTTAAAAAATTGGCAGCTCGTAACTACATTTTGTCCGCTGTATATGCTGCAGTTGAAGTTCAAAAGTAATTGAACTGCAGTAATTTGAGTTCAAAATTACTTTTGCAATAGCTAGGGGTTCAAAATTATCCCTGTATTAGTTCTACTACTACATCACTTGGAGTCTTGGAGTCGGGGACCTTCACCACGCAGATGTCTCAGGACTTCACCAACCGGAGCGATGACGACGATAAATTCACAAAATGAAGACAATAAACGAAAAAAATAAACTTCAAGCTGGATCACGACTTATATAAAATTACAATTGCGAAAGACGACGACACAACGAATTCAAGCCTTGATCTAGCCGACGACGAGGCCGGAAACATGGGGGGGGATTCCGAAGTCTTATCCCGAGTAATCCTTACGGCGTAAAAAACAGATAAAACATACAGTTTTGTTTGTAAAATAGGTTTGAACGAAAGAAATTCCTTACAAAGAATTTTAAATTATCCCTAAATTATAGTAATGTAGTATAATTACTATATACTAGGAGTATTCACGATGTTTGAAAGATGTTAACTCCAATAGAGAAATGTCCGGTAAGATCGTGAACCACCCTTCTTTTCTTAGCATGTTAAATCTTAATTTTTCCGCAATGCTGAGCGTGGCGATTGGTAGAACCAAAAATAAGGCTACAACAGTCCTTGAAGGCTTGTTGTTGTTTGTTTTGGTTTTCTTCTCTGTTAAATTGTAAAATGCCAAAAGTTAGTAAAACAAGGAAAATTAATCAACTCTTTCATTCAAAATGCTATCTATGCACTCGAAAATTATTAACAAATGACACGTCAATTCGTGCCGACATGCCTAACTTCTATAATGTATCCTAACATCTAACAGCATACAACTTTATAGGATAGAGGTTGTATCTACTATGAATGAGAGTATAAGGACAAGTCAGAAATTAACAAAAGAAATGTATTGATTTAATTAATGCGTATTTAAGAATAAAAATATGTGTGAACAAAAACAGCTGTTAAATTCATGGCTGCCATGTTGGTTATCTACACCCTAACGGATAGCAATGTGACTACATTTTCGACCTAACATCTAACATTGGCCCTGTCCTGTTAGATCGAGCAGTGTTAACTAGCCGATGCTTTAAAACAAATCTGTTAAATATACGGCTGCCATGTTCGTTACTTACGCCCTAACGGATAGCAATCTGACTACATTTTTGACGTAACATCTAACATTGGCCCTGTCCTGTTAGATCGAACAATGTTAACTAGCCGATTCTTACAAAAAAAGGTGTTAAATTTATGGCTGTCATGTTGGTTACCTACGCCCTAACGTATTGCAATGTGACTACATTTTCGACCTAATATCTAACTCCACTAGTTTTCGTGGTCCGCTTGAACAATTAATATCTTTCAATTAATTAAGGTTTTCAGTTGAGATAAAAAAGTCAGTGTCACGAGCGGGATTCGAACCCACGACCTTCGGGTAGATACGCCGCTGCTCTACCACTTGAGCTATCGTGACTTCGATCACTCGGACACTAACTTCCCATCTCAACCCCACCTTTTGAATTTTCCCTCCTTTTTGTCATTTTTCAAACGTCGTGTAATCTATTTGATTTTTGGCGACAAATAAAATGGCCACGGAGAGCTTTAGTGAAGTTTACTTCATTTTGCTGATTAAATCGATTAGGTTTCGTGGTCAGATTGACCAAATAAATTCTGTTCAATTAATTAATCTTTAAGTAAGTTATTGGTTGAGATAAAGAAAAGTGGCAAGATCGTGGGTTCGAATCCCGCTCGTGACACTGACTTTTTTATCTCAACGACTGCCTTACGTAAAGATTAATTAATTGAAAAGAATTTGTTTGGTCAATCGGACCACGAAAACTAATCGATCTAACATCTAACATTGGCCCTGGCCTGTTGGACCAGCAAGTACAAGTCTACGTCATCATTTTTCTCGATCTAAAACGACCTAACAGAGTTAACAGGGTTAACACAAAGATCTTGAATATCCCTATGTGTAATATCAATTACAATATAATTTTCAAATTTGCCCTAATGTAAATTCACTTGCGATACTAAACTTATTAGCCATAGTACGTAAATATTTCGTTATGTTGCTTTGCTGTTAAAAACAGTTGAAAATATTTTATTTTATTATTACCGTATGCTTTACTACGTACCCACCAATTTTACTATGTAAACAGCACGCGAACTATTGAAGTTGTGATATTATAATCTCTGGTGACATTCCTTTTACAAAAACAAAAATATTCCGCTTACAATTTTGCTTAACATATTGAAAACTAAATCTAAAAATCTTTAGAACAATGTACAGACGTATCTCGTATCTAAAATATTTTCTATTTTTGTTGTAACCAAATCTTGTATAAAGTACAGTGGTTTACAGTTTTGCAGTAAAAATAATTTTATGTACAATGATAGGACAGATTCGAGTAAAATTATCGCATATCGCAACTCAGATGTAGCCGTCCTCCCATCTGTGGATTATTGCTAGATGTTGACCGTCAGCTTTCACCCATGTTCTCTCAATCGGTCTGTGACGAGTTGAATTTATTTCCGATATACAACCTTTAATAGGTGTTGTTTATCTATACATTTTGACAAATATGTAATCATTACATCAATTTATTTTGTGAAAATAAATAGTTTATACACATACTAAATACTCATCTGTTGAATTATATTCTATTCTTAAGCTATACAAAACATATTTTAAAAAATTAATTGTTATAAAACTACCTACTAATAACTAAACCTTCTCTGTGGCCAAAAATTGATAAATAATATTGTGTTTTAAATGTTTTATGTAGCAAATGGTTTCATTTCATCTGTTCCTGTTAGTCTCTACGCAAAAAGTTATTTTTTTAGGTATTACGTTAAAAACAGGAAAAAGATGAGACGACATGCAGTGTTCAAAGGCATATCAAGGAATAAAATTAAAATATTTTACAAAAATATTTGCCTGCTTTATCTTTATAAAAAATACCCCTTTAGACTATACCTTTAAAATATGGATATCTTGGGTTTCAACAAATTTATAAAATTAATTTACAATGTTTGAAATAATTGATCAATATTCAAAAATTAATGAATAAGCCATATCTGCGTGTTTATCGATTTTTAATCACGAGGCGATGTAAATATGGGAGTTGCAAACAGTGGAAACTCGCCAGTGTGTTGATACATCTGGTTGGTATGATTTTGGAAATCTTCCCCCAAATCCAAGGACCAAATCGAATGGAGAAATGTATTCATTGCATGCATAATGTCTCATGATTGAAAACAGTCATTTAATTTTCCGAACGGCAAAATATCCCATCATGAATAAAACTCGAGTTTCGAATATGCAGGCAAAATTAAATGAGGAAATAATTTTTAATGAATTAATATCGTTAAGACCGACAATGAATACGCTTTCTGACGTTTTGCACACAATGTATTACATATTGCAAAAGACAGCTCTCTCATACATAAATTATCCACTCACATGATTTTCATCATCCTAGAATATTCGCCACAACAAATGGTACTGTTGTAATAATTTCATAGGAATTTCACAAATTTCTATTATTAATTATATTCAAATATTATTTAAGAAGAATTAAGATCTTCGAAGAATAAACTATGTTTTTCATACCGACAAACAATTGCATGGATTAAAGTTTGGTGCCCACGATTGAAATAACACGACAAAAAGATATGTTCCATTCATGTTAAAAGCAGAGAATAAATAGAAGGCTTGACATCCTGCAAGGTAACGAGTCCACTTCTGGTTCAATGCACCCCCTTCACTTAAGGGCGGAAACGAGCCTAGCGGGGAAGGAAGGAAAATTTGGCCTCTCCGTTGTGTCAACTGTCCTCAGAAGCCGCGACGATAAAAGACATTTTGCCTAGGGCAACGAAGAAAGGCATTCCACAATTACACATAAACTATTTAATCAATATTATTTTGAATACGTGTTTAAGGGTAACACTCTCTCTCTCTCTCTCTCTCTCTCTCTCTCTCTCTCTCTCTCTCTCTCTCACCCCGTCTCTCTTTCCTAAACACAATATATAAGAGCTAGGTCTGATTCCGAACTGCCGAAATCCGAGGTTTGTGATTTCTGAGTTCGGCGGTATTTTAAATTACACCAAAGTGGACATTGCCATACATATGAAAGAGGTAGGTTCAACTCTTCACGTGTATGTTTTGTACTTGTATGAGCAGAATGCTGCTTATAAAAATCAGAACTTTTATATTGTTGATGGAATCTACTCAATGATAAAAGCATATAACACAGAATTAATAATTAAAGCTAAATTATTATCATACTTAAATATATTATTTCTTAAATTTAGTGACATTATTGGCAAGGAAATTTTCTATAACATATACTACACACACAAAAGATGGGTTAGCTTGTGAAACATTTTTTTTTTAATTTAAACTAAAAATTAGTTAAACTAGAAACGACAACAAGAAAATGTGTAGGTCAAGGTTTATTTATGTTTATTATTTTTAATTTTTGTTTCATTCAGTACGACATAAAATTTGATTCAAAAAGCAATATCGTCAATTTAGACTTCTTCAACGTTGTCTTCGTCTTCATCGAATTCGCCGGCCTCCTCTGCGGTTGCGTCTTGGTATTGCTGGTATTCGGAGACTAAGTCGTTCATGTTGGATTCGGCTTCGGTGAACTCCATTTCGTCCATGCCTTCTCCCGTGTACCAATGCAAAAAGGCCTTTCTTCTGAACATGGATGTGAACTGTTCTGAGACTCGTTTGAACAGTTCTTGGATGGCGGTCGTGTTCCCGATGAACGTCGACGCCATTTTCAATCCACGAGGAGGGATGTCGCACACGGCCGTCTTGCAGTTGTTGGGAATCCATTCGACGAAGTACGACGAATTTTTATTTTGCACGTTCAACATCTGTTCGTCGACCTCTTTCATCGACATCCTCCCTCTGAAGATGGCCGCGACGGTCAAGTAACGCCCGTGTCTCGGATCGCAAGCCGCCATCATGTTTTTAGCGTCGAACATCTGCTGAACCAACTCGGGCACAGTGAGCGCACGATATTGCTGCGAGCCCCTTGAAGTCAGAGGTGCGAAGCCGGGCATGAAAAAGTGCAATCGTGGAAAAGGGACCATGTTCACAGCCAGTTTCCTCAAATCTGAATTCAGCTGGCCAGGGAACCGAAGGCAAGTAGTGACTCCGGACATGGTCGCTGAGACCAGATGGTTCAAGTCGCCGTAAGTGGGTGTAGTCAGTTTCAAAGTCCTAAAGCAGATGTCGTATAGAGCCTCGTTGTCGATGCAGAAAGTTTCGTCCGTGTTTTCCACCAGCTGGTGGACCGAGAGCGTGGCGTTGTAAGGTTCGACGACGGTGTCCGACACTTTCGGCGAGGGCACGATGCTGAACGTGTTCATGATCCTGTCGGGGTACTCTTCACGGATTTTGGAAATGATCAATGTGCCCATCCCGGAGCCTGTCCCACCGCCCAAAGAATGCGTAAGTTGAAAACCCTGCAGACAATCGCAACTCTCCGCTTCCTTCCTCACGACGTCCAACACGGAATCGACCAACTCTGCTCCTTCGGTGTAATGGCCTTTCGCCCAATTGTTGCCGGCCCCCGATTGACCGAACACGAAATTGTCAGGCCTGAAGATCTGTCCGAACGGACCGGAACGAGCCGAGTCCATGGTACCTGGCTCGAGGTCCACGAGTACGGCACGCGGTACGTATTTACCTCCAGTCGCTTCATTGTAGTACACGTTTATCCTCTCCAGCTGCAGGTCGCTGTCGCCGTGGTAGGTTCCCGTCGGGTCGATGCCGTGTTCGTCAGAAATAACCTCCCAAAATTTCGCTCCCACTTGATTGCCGCATTGGCCGGCCTGAATATGACAAATTTCTCTCATTGTGAAACGCCCTTAAAACTTCGAAATTCCTGTTATTCAGCGCGAATTATCTAGACGAAAAAAACATACATTCTATTTTTATTTTTAAACTAAACACATGATAAATTTGGACTACATTATTATTTCGATGCCTGCCTATTTCCAACAATTTTTTGAACTCAGGTTTGATACCAACCGATCACCTAGATATCTTACCTACAATTTAACCATCAGCCTGTTTATGCATTCTTTTTTAATTACATTCCACATACAAAAATGAAAGGGGTTTGAACATAATTGAAGCTTATATAATTATTCAAAATAACGACATGCAAAATAGTTGTGCAAAAATTAATGAATAAAATGAAAGAAAAAACCATTGCTCATGAAATGAAAATGTATATAACCTTGTCTGATATTACTAGAAACATCAGTGCCTAGTGCTGGACCACGGCAGCGGGCACACAGTGCCGCTAGCTAAGGGCTATACAGATATTTAAATGTATATAATGTTTATGTGGGTATGTGATGTGTCTATGTTTAATTTATTGGAATCAGTGTAATTTATTAGCGTGAAAGGAAAGGGTTCATTAATCGCGCTCCGAGAAATATCGAGTACTCTGGGGTGAGTGTGTGACATATGGGGAGTAAAAGTAAGTTATTAGCGCGAATGGAGTGGGTTCAACCCCGCCTCGAGGAATATCGACTACTCTGGCGAGTGAATGTGACCAGACTTCTATGTGTATGGTGATGTATATATGTTTTGTGACTATTCTGAACCTGAAATACAAAAGGAAAAGCTAGCATTTTAGGTGCGTAGTTTATATAAAAAAGTGTGGTTAGTTAATGATTATTTGGAGATCGCGAGATGCGATCTGGTGTGACGTTGGTTTTAGAAAAACATTTTTTTTAACGAGCCGACGTTTCGATTTTTATTGAGATCATCTTCACGGCCTGGGATTTATAAACATTGTTTAAATTATAAAAATACATGTAGGATGTGAAAACAAATGAATTTATACAATGCTAGAAATTTTAGATTCAATCAAAGAATTTTGTACTCACTCAAAGTGAGTGAATTAATTTATTATTCGATCAATGTATTTGCAATTATAGAAAGTAAGGAAATATGTGGTATAACAAAATTAAAGTGCACGACATTAATGACACAGCTATTGGGTTGTCCGGAAAATAATGCAGGATTTTGGTATTAAACAAAAAAAAAGAAACTAGTTACTTTAAAGCAATGTTCTTTAATCAAAATANCTGAATTATTTCCAAGTAGCGGAATGCTACAGAGGTAAACAAACAATATCATTTGGAAGAGGATTAATAAGTGTTGACATTCATACAAATGAGTAATCCTGTAAACGTACACAGAATATTTTATATAGATTTTTTTTAATGAAAACTTAAAATCCTGCATTATTTTCCGGACAACCCGATACATAGAAAACAGACACTTTGAGTGAGTACAAATACTTTGAATTAGTCTAAAATTTCTAGCATTGTATAAATTCATATTTTTTCACATCCTACATGTATTTGTAAAATTTAAACAATGTTTATAAATCCTAGACTCTGAAGATGATCTCAATAAAGATCGAAACGTTGGCACTATAAAAAAATGTTTTTCTGAAACCTACGTTACACCAGACAGCATCTCACTATCACCAAATAATTATTACATAAGAAAGTAGAGTCAGTAACAAGATCGAAAAGCTCAAACGGCTTCAGTGTAAATAAAACAAAATACGCGTGAAGAAAGCGATCACATAAAATATGATTTTCACCTATAGCACTGAATATGAGTTGGTGAAATTGAAATTTTACAGCTTTTCTGTTGGCGTCGGAACATGTCTGGGGATCATATTTCACAAAATATGATTGGCCAGCAACGAAAAGTATATAAACTAAGGGGTCAATCCCTTGATTTATTATATATTTGAAAAATAAATTTCAATCGTGCACTGAAAAACAAACCGTTCCCTTAATCCGACACGTTATTATAAAACCATCAACATATTTTAGCAATTTTTATTAATCAAAAACTCACGATTTTAAAACATTGAGGCAAAGCTTAATAATGTTAAAACAGAAATATGTTTATCAGACATAAAATTATATTTTTAATTAATTATTTGAACTTAACCGAGAAAAGTGACAATATAGCCTAATAAAAATGTGAACTTTTTATACCATTTTTTTTCTAGATTTCTAGGTTACTATAATAACAACAAATTCTTGAAGAACGTGTTGATTTATGAGCAAGATGATAAAGTGTAAACATGGTATTAAAGCCAATCAAAAGCCAAACAAAAGATACATCTCCTTTGGACCACAAGAATAATAAAAGCCTGCACGTTCAAAAGAGGAGGAAGTCAAAAGTGAATTGACGTTGTTGTTGGTTTTTCAATTTATTCCTAAATGGTGTAAAAATGTAGCGATTACGCTTTTATGCATTAAAAATGATTGTGGCTATTTCCAACATATAGGCTTTTTTTGTCAACATGTTCGGGTGTGTCGTATATCGTTTAGTGTTCAACTTAAAAAACAAAATGATTTAAGCCCTTGTAATTACCGAAATAATAAATAAAATGAAATTCGCTTGTCAAAAGGTCGTCAAAGGGAAATTTTATCATATGCGGTAAGGCCCGGTTGGGCTTCGTTCTGTTCTCAGTGAATAATAATTTTCCAGAGAAATTGTATTGGCATTTTTCATCTAGTGGTCAATGGTTCATAGGTAGAAGTGTTTCGATTTTACATTCTGCCAAAATTGTTTTATCACACTGCCATGATCGGTATTACTAAAAAATTTATTTTGTGCTGAACTAGCTGTAGCCTTGTTGCCCTATTAAGCTCAAGAAATTCATATATAAAATAACATATGAGAAAATGTTGAAGAATTGATATTTTCTAAAGTTTAAAATAGCAATTTTTTTAATCAGAGATTGACACAAAACATAAATTATAAATTATAAGAAGAAAGACAAAATGTGGAAATACGTCTGATCGAGGGAACAGTCTAAGCGGAATGTACGAACTCATGACAATTGATAATATAAACCTAGTAACTCAAGAATAAATATTTCTCTGGTTGATGTGAATTTTTCATTTATTTTGCTTAAATAACCATTCAGAAAGAAAATATTGGGAAAAGAAGAAAACTTCTAAACCATAATAAAAATTGCTTGCTAGGTTAAAAGAGGGTTCACCGAGTTTGCAGCTGTAGCCGTGTTGTAAACAAATGTAAAATTGTTAACAGCGGAAAGTATCCGTGCCTTGGAAACTCGGTTAAAAGTTCAGACGGCAATTTAAACCTTTTTAAATTGTAAAATCAACACAAAACGTACTACTTACATTTATCAAACTTGCTGCCGTACGTGAAAGCGGACCGGACGTATTTAAAACTTATATTTTGATCAAACCCAAGATATCAAAAGGCTGGTGCTTTAACAAACATTTTTAAACTAAACCACAAAATTCCCCGATCATATTTTTTTAAATTATAGATTTAACGGCTGTCTATTTCAAAATGCCAACAAAAAGCAATGTTTCGTCATTACCGGCTAAAAATAGCGTACTAAAGTTTTAAAATATTTATTAACTTGAAATTAATTCCAGGACGATTTATTCTATAAAAGAGGACGCAAATGGAACAGTACAGACAATTAGCACGTTTATCGTTTGACCTGTATTTAACTGAAGTGCTTTCTCATTGGTTAAGCTTTACTTGATAAAAGGAAAATCTTAGATAATCCACGAGTTATCTTCTTAAACCAATCTTACATTTTGCATATTTCTTAATTCATCTCCCAAAGGCCTCCCAATATTGTAAATATTTTCTTCTCACTCCATTTTTAGGTAAAATCGTTAATATTTAACAAGTTGTATTAATAAATGGATGTAACAATAGTTTAACCTCGAAGCGTGAAAGTATATTGTTTGATCAAATTATTGTTGTGTTTTGTGTTAAGTACCAAAAAACAATTCAATATAATATATTTTGAGGTTACAACTACTAGATATAAGTCATTAATTAATAATACACATATAAATTTTTAACATTGTATTTGACCAAAGGGTCCAAGTCACAAGAAGCAAAATTATGAGAAATTGTCTATATTTTAAAAGAGTGTTTGTCAGGTATGTATGAATACATTTGTAAAAGGATAATAAAATGACAATTGACAATATTAAGTTGTCAGTAAAAGAAAATCACGTTTTCAGACTAAATCCATATAGAATATAAGAAAGTATTACTAAGACATCTGGTTCATGAAAGACTAGATTGACAAAGTAAAAGTAAAAAAAACTATAACAAGGAAAACAACAAAGAAATTGAAATAAACGTGAAAAGGCTTCCAAATAAAAAGTCGGATTAATAAGCAATTACTCAACTAAGAGTATCGAAAAGAAAAAACCAAGATTTGAAAGTTGATTAAAATGTACATAATCAAGACTAATAAGAAAGTAATAGCCACAGAGAATTATGGTAAGAGATGGAACAAATATTTGAGGAAAGAAGGTACAAATGGCTATCGATATGCAGAAATGATTCTAAACTGAGTTTAAAATAATGTTTAACAAACTACTTATTTTAGAAATTGTTGATTGTTGAAAGTGTTGTTTATTGTATCGATCGTTTTTTTATTCACGAATAATCTGGATCACAGTTATGATCTGGATAAAAAAATTCTCGTGTTTACGGCAGATTTGTCTATTATTTGATAGATATTTTTTTTCATTCAGACGGTACCAAGATCCAGATTATTCGTACTTTAGAAATGGTTCTTCAACAAATACCAATTTAACGTAAAGATGAATGGCATCATGTTCTAATTCTATGTGGCTAACTGACTTTAAAACTGGGTACATTCATTTATAATTTTTTTCTGTTGAACGTCGAATTAATTTAATTAATTTAATTAATTTAATTTAATTTTGTTTAATTATTTAACATTTAAATTAATGTTTTATATCAAATTCTAATCTAAATTCAGTTATCTTTTATTCCTTGAACCCCATTTTTATTCCATGAAACCTTGATATTTTATGAATTGATACTCTTTTCCTTTTTTTATGTTGATTGTTCAAATTAGCGATGTTATATGATATATGTTAAAGGAATTAGAGACTTTGTTGTTTTTAATATTCGTTATGCATTTCGCATCGCTCGTCTCGCCACCAGGTATCTTTTCTTTTTTTTCCTATCGTATTTTTTGTCTTTATTCTTTCAGATCATATTGTTATAATTCATGTATGTAATCGATATGTTGTTTGAGAGTGTAAACATCACTATACCAATTTTATCCCTGGGTAATCATCCAAATATAAATGTTAATATATGCTTAAACAACTTTCTAAATTTCTTTTTTCTCTAACCCTCTTTCAATCTTCCTACAAGAGAATATTTATCATTAACTTAAGCAAAAGGCGAAGCTGAAGGTTTTTCAATACGCGAACTAACTCAGCAGGATAGGAAGGAAAGAGTAGGATTTTATGAAAAAGCTTGTCGGAAGAGCTTGAAGATTGGAGTAGCCTAAAGACTTCAACATGGACGCGAAAAAATATTGCTATTTTGTTAAGTAGAAATAGTTTAACTTTTAAAAATTAAAAAATAAATAGCTACCGTTTATAGTTTTTGTATTTGCCAAACTTTACGTGAGTAATGTCTGCATTATAAAAAGTAAAATAAATAAATAACAAATTTAAGGTGAATAAATATAAGATATTTTTTTATGTCTGTTTCACATCAATCCAAAAAAAATTAAACAGAATTGAAACTATGGTCACGATCAAAGCCGACTTTCTGAATCATAAGAAAATTAGATTTTTTATTTTTTCTAAGCTTTAACCAAAATACTTGTTTATACTGCGTTATAAATTGGGATTATCATTTTAGATTTGACATTTTTCAGAATGTTTATTTAACAATAACTGCATCATAAAAAAATAACACAACGATCGAAAACTTTGAAGTTTAAAAACCAACAAATTCAAACGGAAAAAATTGTGAAACACAAATCAAAACTTACCAATATGATTTTCAAAAGCCAACGAACTGATGATGCCAATGGCTTATTAGAATAAACCAAAAAATCCAGACGTAATCCTTTGAAAACATCGACAAAACCGATACACTTATTTCATATTTCACGAAAAACAAATGAGATAAACTTGACTAAATAAAAAAACCCAAATCCCACTGAAGATGGATAGAAGTCAAGAAGTGTCCGGGTGGCCAAAAAGCGAGGATAGGGAGGCTAAAATGATAGAACCAAGATAAATATGTACTAGTTCGATAATGACACTTCTTTCCTGTTAGACTATGATTTTCTGTGTTTGTCTCTAGATACAGCAAGATTAAACTGTTTAAAAAACACAACGTGAATCCATTTTTATGACCTCTTAGTGTTAGAACTAGGTGTCATTTATTGTTGCAGTGAGGATTTTTTAAATAGCATAGGTAATTTATACAGTAATTCATGAATAGATACGATTTGACAAAGATTATCCATACAATGGGTATAAAACGGTGAAAGGATCTTGGTTCAAATGCTTTATCGATGAAATATTTAAGCCGTGACGATTTTTTCCACGGAGGCCAAACAAAACCAGAAATCGCTAAACCAACTCAAATAGAAACAAGATAAGGTATTCAAGGTGCCTTCGGGGAGCTTAGTAGGCATTCATCGGAGTAAATCTGGGTGACGTCATTCATCAATAGTATTGTGCCCAGAGATAAAATCGGCACTCCATTCGACCAGACACCAATGGGTCACTTTTGTCTGCTATTATATTTTTACAATCCAACGCGGGGGGATTGAATTGCAATACTACAGGAACGAACTATTCCACACAAAAGGTTGTACAGTCGCAAAGGGAGAGGAAACACCGAATAATAGCTCGACGCCGACCTTTCCAACGGTGCATTACCTCCAATGCTCCAACCCACTCGTTTCGTTCTATCTGTTTTTACCTGCAACAGACAAAAGTAATGTTTAAAGAAATATTTAATTCCTCTATTTACACAAAATATGTTTTTTATTAGTTAAAAAGATTTAGTTAACTTTGAATATTTACTCCATGTAGCCAACAATGTTTAAAAAAAAGTCTAGGGACATTTAAATGCTAAAACAAACTTAATTTCGTAAATGATTTTTATTTTGACGCTTCTATTTTGACACAGCTGTGCTTTCTATTATATATATATATATATGCTTATATTATATGCTTTCTATTATATATATATATATATATATATTCCCAACAGACCTCAAGAAGAAATCTGGATTTGGAAAAAATTGTTATATTTCTGGTGTTTATGTGTAAGTCCTTCCACCTTTCATTCACTGATAAACCCGTCTAAAAAGGATTCCGATAATATCAGGTGGCCAGATGAGGAGATTGAAGGTAAACCAGATCTGGTATACCAGTCTTGAATGACGAGGAATTGAGGGACGTTATCGAACACAATACATGTCAAACATGCCACGTGCTTGCCGAAGTATTTAACGTAAACGATGAAACCATTCACTTTAATTTACATCGACTTGGAAAAATTTGCCTTTCATTGTTTTTATAGCACAAAGTACAGACGTTTGGAGACAGAGTTGTCACATGCTACGAAAAATGAATACTGTACGGTAACACCAATATGTCATAACCATGGGCAGTCACCAAATAACATTGTCCCATTGACATGAAAACTTAATGTCAACAAAAGGTGATGCTTTCTGTTTTGAGGAATACTTTTTTAAACTTCTGTACAACTTTTGAGTAGTTCACATATTGCGTTATCACCGAACGCAGTGCAAATTTTAAGAGCTGCCTTGGCTACCCAAGTAACGAGCTAAAATTCATATACTAAGCACGCACGAATTATGGGTTTTGAAGCCATAAGGAAGAAAATGTTTTATAATTTACACTGAACTAACAGAATTTTTCTTTATGAAGTGACTGACTCGTTATCCTCTAAGTATTAATTAACATATTCCGGACCTGGATACACTTATTCTTGATTATCTTTATTACTGCAATTTCTATCTTGTAAGCTTAACGACAATCCAGGTTGGTTGAAGATAACCATGAGCTTTTAATTCTTCAGAGTTTGATGTGTAGTAGAAAACTAAAGCGATTCACATCATTGCCTGACGTTTCTTTTGAGGCGGAAGTTTAACTAGTGACAGTAGGCATGTATTACTATTATTGTACATAATATAATAATACATACATAATAATAAAGTTAATATCTTTTAATTGCTTGCGACTATAATAATAGAAATACATTTTCGCCTCAGATGAGGGTCAGAAAAGGGTTGAAACGTAAGCAATAAAGAGGATTATTTTAGTTGCTTTTTCCACCTGCATATGCTTCTGACCGATCCCCATCAAGCTCTGTCGGCTTAAAAATAATGCATAACGTTGATGATGAGGTTGGTCTGCGAGTCGGCGAACTCATTCTGAACCGGCATAGGAAGAATTGATCTGTTCCTCACTGAAGATGAGGTGTCGGTTAATGTGTCGGTTAATCGGTTAA